CCTTGCCTCCCAGTGGCAAGGTAATTCACAAAGGCCATATGGCAGGTTAAGTGCTTTGGGTTAACTATTCAATATTTTTGTTAAAGTTCAGAAAGCTCTGGTCGGGATTAAACTTTTTTAATGTTTTGGTGGTGTTATTAACGGCAGTGTTCAATCACACACAGACACACCTGCATATTCATCTCCACTCGTGTGCACCTACCACAATTACCGTGCTTCTGGTAGACCTTGCGTCTCTTGTTAATACCTCCGATTAGCACGGTTGGCTACTTACGGTGCCAAAGAAGTTCAACATCCATACATACAATATGGGTTATATTTGATAAAGAGTAGTAAGGGTGCATGCATATGGTAAGTGTCCAGGTGTTGCACTGCTTTATCGAGCTCAGATCTGTTAACAGCCCAGAGCCAGTGCCGGAAACTACACATCCCTATGATTGGGGCCAGTTTCTTCACAGAACAATCACTATTGACATCCCACAATTTGGAATAAATACAGTAATAATCATATTGCTCTCCGACAGATAATGGGCAGAGTTAACTCGCACTCGTGAGTTGAACTCACACAGTCTTCTGATTGGTGGTCAGTACACTGAGCCATGAATCCTGGGGTGAGCAATAACTAAGTAGTGCCTGGGCACCTGCCTTCACCAACCTAAATTTACTCGTGTGGTGAAGTATGGTCATACAACCCCCTTTGCCGACATGGGGGGGGGGGGGGGGTAGACATTCATAAGTAGTGGATTGACAAATACAGTACTGTAAAACAAACGTGTCATCTTCTCATTGTAAATGGAGCACTCTGCTCCAGCACCAGGGTAGAATAATGTTATTGTCGAATTGTTGAAAAGAATTAGGAAAAACAAATATTTAGCAAACGAAATCTCTCCGGGAGAGTTATTAACAGCAGTCTTCAGACCTATTCAGGAGGGACTGCCACCGTGCCTCAGTGTGTTTAAGGGGCAACAGTTAAGAGATATATTTTTTTATGGATTGCTTGAAAAGGCCCTTCCATGCCGCACTGGTTGTGTGAGAACAAGCAGCGCCTTCTTGGGGTTGTGGTCCCCCCCCCCCCCGTGTGGTCACGAGCCGAACCAGCATGTGCTGGAATAATTTGTCTCTCCCCTTCCACCCACCCACCATGCCCTATTTCGTACCAAATCATTTGACTCTCCCCTACCACCCACCCACCTCCATGCCCTATTTTGTACCAAATCATTTGACTCTCCCCTGCCACCCACCCACCATGCCCTATTTCGTACCATTTTCGTACCAATTCATCTCATGGCAACCATCGCCAGGGTTAGGACATTGAGACCGAGTTAGGCTTTGTTGGTTAAAAGCCCTCTTTCACAAATCAGACTTTGCAATTTAACCGAAGGATAATATTTGTCTCTCCCCCCACCCACCTCACGCCTCGCAACACACACAGGAAGCATCTGTCGCAGCAATAGCCACCGATGTATTGTGCATTTATTAATATTGCTAGTGGCGTATGAAGAAAAAAATAAGAATAGTTTTTTTACCCTTTCTGTCAATAAAGCAGCAGATGTTAAGATGTTCAAACACCAAAATATAAACCTTTTGCAAGGAATCAAGTTCGCATTAAACCACACGGTACTTGTGGTGAACATGCAAACAAATATGCTCAGATAATATATGCGTTGTCTTTGAAACTGATTCGCCTACATCTTAACGCCTGTTTTATTGCCAGAGGTTAAAACCTATTCGTGTTTTTCCATACTTTTATACTGGTTAAAAACAGGGCCCCATGTTGTTAGCGACGTCTTTCAAGGGTGGGAAAAACCCGATTTTTTTTTCCCGACAAATCGGGTTATTGGTTTTAATGGAATTAAACCCGATTTTGCCGATTAAAACCTGGTTTTATTATCGGCGTCTCGTGCACACTTCAATCCTGCTCCTCGTCGTCGTCGTCCGCCGCCGCGTCGTCTTCGTCGTCGCTCTCGCCGCTGGACTCGGTGTTGTCGTCGTCGGGCGTGGGGTAGTCGTAGAACGCGTTGAGGTTCGACTTGATGAAGACGAGCTTCTCGACTCGTGTTGGGCGCCAGGCTGTTCCTCAACTTGGAATGGATAGATCCCATCGTCGAGAAGTTTCGCTCAGACGCAGCAGCAGCGGTCGACGTGGCCATGCCGCCGTGCGCGTCACTCACGCGCGTGGCGGCTGAGCCCGGGCCCTGGCCCGAACGCCGCTAATGGGTGGTCCGGTTTTATATAAAAAACGATTAAAACCCGAATGAATTAAACCGGGCCGTGCCAGCCTTGATGTCTTTACGAAATCGTCTCTAGGCATTGCGAGGACAGACTTCGTGGTGGGTAGAAACCTACTAAACACTGCTTGGCTAAAACACGGACCTGTTGGTACAGAGGTGAGTTACATTATAGGGGCGAAAGTCTGATTTTGCGGCAATGTTGATAACAAAGGCATGGCGAGCATAAAGCGTGCGATCGAAAAGGTGCCGGTGTTTGTTGCGCAACGTGCACTGGCAGAGAGCACTTAGCGATTGGTCAGGTGTACTGTGCAGGTTGTTGCTTACACGGAAGCATCAATCATTCATTGTAACCGATTTTGTGTTTGTCATCGGTGATAAAATATGAGCCTAAAACAAAATCTGTCTGTCGCCACCCCCCCCCCCCCCCCCCAAGTCTACAAACGTCGCTGTTTTTTTTTGCCCGAGTCGGGTTTCACCCTGCAAAGCCAGGCGGTGTGTGCATGCAGGTTCACGGGCAGCAGCAGCAGTAGCAGGATGGGGGGGTGGGTTCATGCTGCGTTCGCATGGACACAAACACACACAAGCGACCACTCCCCGTTTGTGTCAACATTTACGAAATGGCTCTGCGGCAAAAGCTGTAAAGCGCACGCCGTCTATTTGCACTAATCCGCACGGAGGAGGCAGAGTTCTCGATAGTGAGGGTAGGTGGAGTGGTGGTGGTGGTGTTTGCCGGTCGCAGTGAGCGTCCACGCGTTATTGGGAGACCGCCCGCTCCTGAGCGAGAGACTGGGAGCGCTTTAAACTTTGCCCGTGCGTTTTGAGCTGCGGGGTTTTTTTTGGTTTTGCGGTCAGCTCGTTTCGTGGCTTCCCTGCGATTGACGCTCGCCTTGCCTCCTCGTGTCAACGTGAGTTCCCCCGCCGGCAATCGACACGCAACGCACTCTTTTTTTTGTATGGGCGTCGTCTATATTTGTGCATTGAACAGAATAATAAACATTCCCTTGGGTCTTTCGGTAAAGTCACGTAGATAGGTTGAAAGAAAATCACAAAAGTATTTTTGTTGTTGTTTTCTTTCAACCAAAGAATGAATTTCTGCAGTCACCGAAAGCTTTAAGTCAAGGAGAACAAACGCGTCTGTTTTTAAGCAGAAACGTGTCGTCCTTGAGATAAAAACTGCATCGTGATACAAACGACATTATGGTCGTTACATTGCACGTGCCGTACTTGGATAAAAAAAGCGAGCAACATAGGTTTAAGACGATTCCTGTTTCATTAGACCTCCTTTGCCAGCACCAAAATGTAATAATAATGCAAACAAAAAAAACATACGTTTTGACTGCAGGTATTGTGGTTAATGCAGACATGAATCCTCGTAAAAAGGTTTCAGTTTTGTTGCCAGAAAAAAAAGGGGAAAAGCCCTATTATTACGATTCCTGTTACTACATCAATTGTGTGATAAGTTATTTCTTTAAGATGGTACTTAATCTTGCCATAGCTTGGTCGTGCTTTCAAATCGGAATCTTTAATCCCAGCCGAACGTTTATTGTGTTTGTGTGCTGTGGTTCGGCAAATGTGCATTTAAATAATACATCTACCATCAGCCGTATTCATTCGACTGCTCGAGTAGAGTCTCCCTCAGCCATTGCTAACTCTCACAGGCTTGCAATGCAACATTCCATCGCGCACTTGAAGGTACGCTGATTTCATCACGCTATGGCTCTCTCTGCGTAGGAAGCCCTTCAAGGTGTGATCTGTTCCGTTTGGCTGCCACTCCCATCATTCACCTTGGCCACTGGCCATCATCTCTTGCAGTGATGTGCCCTGCCCAAGCCCAACTTTACCTTTCTTAACCGTCAATACGTCTCTGGCTTGGTGTGTTTTCTCTAATCGATGGACAATGGCGCTTTGTTTCGTGTTTAGTTTCCTGTCCTTTCACACACCTCTGATTAGCACGGTTGGCCACGTTCGGTGCGAAAGAAGTTCAACATGCATAATTAAATCGTTGAAAAGTGCACAAATAAGCATGGAGAGGTGCATGCTTAGAATTTAATTGGGAATATTAGTATCTACATAACTCGAGCCAAAGCCTATTTCAACGGTTAGTGACATCCAAATTGGTCAGCATTAAACTAACATTGGAAAGCGTTAAGGGTATGTATAGCTCTGCATCCAGCATCGTAACTGATGTAACTGCTGCTCTGTATCCTGTAATGTCCATATATAATAGTACCTATGTATGTATTTTTACTTCTTTCGCACAGTACATATCCAACTTTGCGGGCGAAGGACGGCAAACTAAACGTAATAACTAAACATAGCATTTATAAAGAAATGCATTTTCAATTTATATTTAAAAGTGCATCGTCTAGTGGCTTCCTATAATGGTAAGGAAGAGCGTTCGAATTCAAACTTTCACGGAGTTTCTGTTCCCCCTCCAATGTCGATCGACCGAATGTACCGGGTTCGCGTTTTAACGCAATACAAAAACAAATTCTGAACATAGGCCCTGCTGTGCTGAGCTAACCTGCCCGTGTCCCCAGTTCTAGACCAGGGGGTCGGCAATCCGCGGCTCCGGAGCCGCGCGCGGCTCTTTAAGGACTGCTCTGTGACGTAATTCATCAAGGGCCACCGTCTCCTATGTGGCATGCCTTGCGGCTATTGAAATAGAGATTTTTTTGTTTACTCAATTAAAAAAAACTGCTCTCCTTGTTCATTTTCGCTTTCCGTGTCGTCGCCCCCCCCCCCCCCCCCTGCACACCCCCACTCTAGATGGACCAAATAGAGATCCTGTGGAAGCAGGATGTGGACCTGGGCGCTGGGCGGGAGGTCTTCGACGTGGCGCTGCGCCGAAAGGAGCTGGAGCACGAGCTGTTCAAGAAGCGTGAGCACGAGCGCCTCGAGCAGGTGGCCTTCGAGGAGGAGAAGGCGCGGCTCGCCTGCTTCGAGGTGGACGGGGAGACGGGCGAGTACGTGCCCGTGCAGCGCGGGGGGAACCCGCCGCCCAAGCTCGAGGAAGAGTCCGCCTTGACGCGAGGGGTCAAGGTGAGGCCCGCACGTATGTGCGTGCGTGCGTGCTGCACGCTGCAGACGCTCACTCAATGTGTTGGCCCCCTCGTCCCTACATATGTTTGTATGTTCTGATGTACAGTGAGGGAAAAATGTATTTCATCCCCTGCTGATTTTGTACGTTTGCCCCTCTGACAAAGAAATGATCAGTCTATAATTTTAATGGTAGGTTTATTTGAACAGTGAGAGACAGAATAACAACAACAAAATCCAGAAAAACGCATGTCACAAATGTTATAAATTGATTTGCATTTTAATGAGGGAAATAAGTATTTGACCCCTCTGCAAAACATGACTTAGTACTTGGTGGCAAAACCCTTGTTGGCATTCACAGAGGTCAGACGTTTCTTTTAGTTGGCCACCAGGTTTGCACACATCTCAGGAGGGATTTTCTCCCACTCCTCTTTGCAGATCTTCTCCAAGTCATTAAGGTTTCGAGGCTGGCGTTTGGCAACTCGAACCTTCAGCTCCCTCCACAGATTTTCTATGGGATTAAGGTCTGGAGACTGGCTAGGCCACTCCACGACCTTAATGTGCTTCTTCTTGAGCCACTCCTTTATTGCCTTGGCCGTGTGTTTTTGGTCATTGTCATGCTGTAATACCCATCCACGACCCATTTTCAATGCCCTGGCTGAGGGAAGGAGGTTCTCACCCAAGATTTGACGGTACATGGCCCCGTCCATCGTCCCTTTGATGCGGTGAAGTTTTCCTGTCCCCTGAGCAGAAAAACACCCCCAAAGCATAATGTTTCTACCTCCATGTTTGACGGTGGGGATGATGTTCTTGGGGTCATAGGCAGCATTCCTCCTCCTCCAAACACGGTGAATTAAGTTGATGCCAAAGAGCTTCATTTTGGTCTCATCTGACCACAACACTTTCACCCAGTTGTCCTCTGAATCATTCAGATGTTCATTGGCAAACTTCAGACGGGCATGTATATGTGCTTTCTTGAGAAGGGGGGCCTTTGCGGGTGCTGCAGGATTTCAGTCCTTCACGGCGTAGTGTGTTACCAATTGTTTTCTTGGTGACTATGGTCCCAGCTGCCTTGAGATAATTGGCAAGATCCTCCCGTGTAATTCTGGGCTGATTCCTCACCATTCTCATGATCATTGCAACTCCACGAGGTGAGATCTTGCATGGAGCCCCAGGCCGAGGGAGATTGACAGTTCTTTTGTGTTTCTTCCATTTACGAATAATCGCACCAACTGTTGTCACCTTCTCACTAAGGTGCTTGGCAGTGGTCTTGTAGCCCATTCCAGCCTTATGTAGGTCTACAATCTTGTCCCTGACATCCTTGGAGAGCTCTTTGGTCTTGGCCATGGTGGAGAGTTTGGAATCTGATTGATTGCTTCTGTGGACAGGTGTCTTTTAAACAGGTAATACGCTGAGATTAGGAGCATTCCCTTTAAGAGTGTGCTCCTAATCTCAGCTCGTTACCTGTATAAAAGACACCTGGGAGCCAGAAATCTTTCTGATTGAGAGGGGGTCAAATACTTATTTCCCTCATTAAAATGCAAATCAATTTATAACATTTTTGACATGCGTTTTTCTGGATGTTGTTATTCTGTCTTTCACTGTTCAAATAAACCTACCATTAAAATTATAGACTGATCATTTCTTTGTCAGTGGGCAAACGTACAAAATCAGCAGGGGATCAAATACTTTTTTTCCCTCACTGTATGGGGCGCCCACGGTGGCGAGATGTTAAATAGCTCGCCTGGTATGCAGGAGGTCGTGGGTTCGATCCCGACCCCGACGCCTGCTGTATATTTGGGAGACTGCGTATTCACTCTCCCCCGTGGTCATGTGGATTTTTTTCTCCAGGTCCTCCAGTTTTTCCCTCCAGGTTGAGAATCATGCATTTGCGTTTAGAGTATTTGGCTGCTATAAATTTCCGCGTAATAAGCCACTTTGTCGAGCTATCATTTGTGGCCAGGTCGCTTTTTAAAACGAGCTACATAGTTCAGTGGGCCTTACCTGGTAAAATAATAAATAAATGCAGGTTGAGCTTCTTTCCCACAGTACAAAGCCAACCGTGCTAATCGGAGGTGCGGGACAGGGTGTGTTTTCGACTCTGCCACTTGGAACAAGCGTGGGCAATGTTTTCCTGACTGAAGGCCGAATAGGGCTATCAAATACATTCTTTTGGCGGAGCCACATATTAACATTAACCTTGGTCACTTCATATCACTGCAAGACACCCTGGCATTGACAGAAGCGAGTGAGCACGCTAACATTATAAACACACTGTTGTCAGGTCAAAGATATTCCCGTTGTAGTAGCCATTCCAAACAAGCCAAATGCTCTCTGTGACGGATAAATATTGTTTGTAGGCCGTTTCAAAGTGGTAGGCCTCATGTGACTACTCAGACTGTGTGAAGTGAAGTCGCTGCTGGGCTGTATCCGGTCCGAAGGCCATAAGTTACCCCCCACACCGCTCACTTAGATAAGCGTGGTGTGTGATTTATGAGCCTGATGTCACGATTCAATTAATGCTAAATTGTAGGTAAGCACATGTGCTTCATGCCACATCCCATGGGCTTTGACTCTGCATTCTGCCATGTCAGGGGCATACACACATACAGGATGGCCTTGTATGGAAATGAATTGTATCCACATGTCCCATTTTAGCAAGCCCTTTTTTATCTTTTTACTACGCAGTGGGAGGAAAATTGTAAAACTAAAATGCTTTCAAAGATTTACACGTTGGTGCAATAATATAAAAAAGAGTTTGACTCTTTAGAAAATACCTTATTTTCTTAGCTTGAGTTTTACAATGATACATAAACCTGTCAAGGCGCTTTGTGAAAACATGTTTCGACGAAGACGCAAAGGTGTGCATTTGCATTTTCGTCCTTTGAATAACAACATTCCCTGCAAATTACATCTGCTGTGTCTATCTCTGCATCAAAAAAATGTTTTGGTCCATCTTAATTATCTCCCAGCAGCAGCAGCAGCATGATCATCATGCTAACCCAGTGTAGAATTATTTACTTTGTGAGTCAGAAGTGCAAACCAAAGCACTCAAATGCACTGAGGTGGGACCAAAGTTTCCACATGGAAGATGTTTGCACAAAGCCATGAGTAAACAGCTGTCACCATACCAATTTTGTAACTCTTTGCGTGATTATAAAAGACTGCACATATTTCAATGAGACTCTCTTAAAAGGAAAAACTAAACTAGACTCTGTCTTATTTTACCAGGTAAGGCACGCTTAAGCTATGTAGCTCTTTTTAAGAAGCGACCTGGACACAAATAATACCTCAACGAAGTGGCTTATCACGTGGACATGTGTAGCAACAGTCAAATACTCTAAATGCATGTTTTAAAATGTGACCACCGTATATAATAGGCGACTAATAGGCGACGTTTATGGCAATGGCCCTTCTTCATATAGGGCGCATAAAGAGATTAGGAAATAGTTGAGGATGGTTGTTTGAACAGTGAAGATGATCAAAGTTAATACGTTCTGTCCCGTGTTTCTCTGTGCAGGATTCTGCAATACCAGGAGGCGAACAGGCACCACTCAGCTTTGACGAGTGCTTGAAGATTCTGGAAGAAAACTTCAACTTTGACACCACTCCTGAGGTGAGGGAGCGAAGTGGGCAATTGTTGGATGGTGTGTTCCATGGTTTGGCTTTTGATATTCACAGTCGCCCTGTGGAGAATGCTGTTCATCTTCCACCAGTGTAGCATCAGCTCACACGCTCAGAATATCCGCTGCCCGTATCCCTCAAACGGGCTCACCGACCTCGCCATCGGCACAGAACAATGCTAATAACCCTGCCATATGAAGCAAGAAGCACAGTTCTTGTGCCAATATTTCCACAGAAGCTAAGTCCCGCAGAAAGACAAATAGGGGTTTGGCAGCAATAGCAGGACTGTAATTTCCTTCCTGTCATGCTAATTTAATTGGACAAAGAACCTCCCACGAGTAATCAAGCCAGTGTCCTCCAGTGCACCGTTATTTGACATGGACATGTCTGAAACCACGAATGGATTACACACTGTACAGATGTAAGTCCTCCTCCACAAACCCAGCGCGCAATTTACGCGGGCGCTCACGCATTCCAACAACTAATGAGACATTGACCATGCAAACGTCACAATTGTCGAGAATGACAAGCGCCCAGAGACGGAACCATCCATTACGGAGATGGAACAGCAAAATCTCCTCGTGGGAAAGTGCTATAGTGGATTCTTATATTACAAGACCATGAGAGACGATGATAGCTTGGGGAGGCCTTGTCCCAGTATAGCCGATGGTGATAGTGGACTGTCCCTTGCATGTATGTGTTTACATACACAAACTCATTTTACACACATTCTTTAGAACTGATTTTTGTGTTTAGTTTGTTGTCCTTCCCCCGCACCTCCGAGTGGCACGGTTAGCTACCTATGCTTGCGAAAGAAGTTTAGCATTAGTATGTAGCCAACCGTGCCGATTTTAAAGTCAGGTCTCTACAGTTGACGCTGTAACTGACCGGCTCCTGGGTGACCACCCCCCCCCCCCCCATGTCCACACATACATAGGTTCCTGCCCTCCCTGATGTCACGGGCCCCATGGCGATGGGCGAACCTGTGCCATGCGTGCCAGTGCTGGCCCCGGACAAAATGGCCGCTCCGCCTGCCCAATGCCAACCGCTCGACCTGGAGCAGCGGTGGCAGGAGATCCTCTCGCTACCAGACTTCCAGGTGAGTTTGGTGGTGCGTGCTCACTCTATCCGCCCACAGCGAGGACGTTTTCACAGGTGTGTTTGCCTTTGTTTGTGGTTAGGGAAATGATCACCCTCACATTGCACCCTTTTCCAAACGTGCATTTGACCTAAAGCATTTGCAAATGGCTAAAATCAATACCGAAACCCAGAAAAGTACATTACATACAGGCTGTCTTAATTTCTGTATTTGTGTTGTTCATTTAAGGTTTTGGACATGCACGTGGTTGATCTCGAACCTTCGCTCTACGCTGGCATAGAAAGCCAGCCAGCCTTGGATGTTCTGGAGAGCTGCCCGGCACTCTGCTGTGATAGCACTGCCACTGCAGTTCCTGCACAGGACTTTAACTCCACGTACGACACAATGGGCAGCAACTTGCCCAACGCAGAAAATTCCTGCCCTGCATTTTACAGTCTCGAGCAGGTTAGCACATCACATATTTACCCACCGTTCGACTCTGGCATGCTCCTACCATCCATTCCGTCAACTTATGCCCCCGTCAGCAATGCCGCAGTCCAAGCCAGCAACAATTTAGCACACAGTGAGTTAAATGAATTACTAGGGTCCACAGTCCTTACCAGCCTTGGTTCAGTGGAAGTCCCCATCGATTCAGAAGCTAATTATTGCGGTATGGATCTGCCAGAAAGTAAATATGGAATCGTGAAGGTAACGGCAGGGAACAGCAGAATTCCGCTGAATCTCCCTCCACGGGAAAGCATCCCTGGAAGTAGTGACGTGGGTAAAATAGAGATTTTCAGACCTAGCAGCAGCTTCCTAGCGTTTGAGTCGACGGCCGCTCTTGATGAGCACGACTCAGACTCTGGGATGTCCACGGGCTCGAGCCCTCACGGCTCTCACGGCTCACACTACCAAGCCCTATTCAGGGACGAGGATGACGAGTTCAGTGATGAAGATGATCTGGATGAAATGGAAAGTGTCAGCGGAGAGAGGCACACGTACAGCCAGGAGGAAGACGGGTCGGCTTTTCTAGACGAGGCACATTACAGCTCCTCGTCGCCAGGGAACGACGAGAAGCAGCGGCGTAATCCGAGCGGCAAGAAGTCAAAGCTGAGCCGCTCCGACCCCGCAGCCAGCGACGGCTCCGCAAAGCGCCCGGTTGCGCGGGACAAAAGCGGCTGCTACCCAACCTCGAAGGGCGGCGGCCGCCTGTCGCGCGACGAGCGCAAAGCCCAGTCCCTGAAGATCCCCTTCTCGGTGGCCGACATAGTCAACCTCCCCGTGGACGACTTTGTCGGCCTGCTGTCGCGGCACCAGCTCAACGACTCGCAGCTGGCCCTGGTGCGCGACATCCGCCGGCGGGGCAAGAACAAGGTGGCGGCGCAGAACTGCCGCAAGCGCAAGATGGAGGGCCTCTCGTCGCTCGAGGGCGAGCTGGACGGCCTGCTGGGCGAGCGCGAGCGGCTCAAGCGCGAGCGGGACCAGCTGAGTTCGGGCCTCGCCTCGGTGCGCCAGGGCCTGGAGCAGATGCAGCGGCAGGTGTTCGAGTCGCTGCGCGACGATGCCGGGCAGCCGTACTCGCCGTCCAAGTACTTCCTCGAGTACGCCAGCAACGGCACCATCTTCCTCGTGCCCAGGCACCCGAGCCACGTCGTCCGGCCCGTGGAAGCGCTCAGAGTGCAGAAGTAGAGTTCTTAGTTGCTCACTCGCCGTTATATATAAAACAAAAACTATACTGCTGAAGAGTGCTTAAAGCGTAGCTGCTTGTCGTCACACAAACCGACGTCGTCTATATACCGACAATGTTCAGTTTTCCCTTTTACTGCAGTGCTTAATGATGTTGGATAAGTGATTGTAAGTGTGTTTTGTACGAGCTGATGTGTCGATAAGAACCCGGTACGGGTGAAGAGATTGTGTAGGTCAACTTTAGAATATCGTATCGCATCATGTGCGAACATGAAAAAGAGGTCCAAGTTCAGACATCACCAAAAACAAGTTTGACCCCCCTGTCCTGTGGTGTTCTGTGCGACCGCACGAGTCACTGTACAGATAGGGTCAACAGGGTTAGCGTGTACTGATCTTCCATAAGGAGGATGAAGCCAATATACAAATACCACGTTGCACAGCTAATCGTGTTATGATGGCAATTGTTGCAAGAGTTCATGTTGGTGACTTCCAAGTTGCCATCCTTGTGCAACTTGTAGTTGAGGCTGCAAAGGGTTCAGTAATCAAGTTCCTCAGCCTAAACGCGTGCCACTCACAGTTATGAGAGTCAACACAAGCGTTTGTCCACTGCTTATTTGCTAAAATGGCAACATGTGGACTTCTGCTGAAGAACACTGTGGATTTAAATAGCATCAAAGTATACGTCCTTAAAATTTTTAACTGCCTTCTATAACAAATGTCTGTGCCTTTAGTGTAATCGAAATTAAACTGGTTTGGCTTGCTCATCCTTTCAATCGGATCATGTTTTGGAACTTAAGGTCTAAGATTAACAGATTTGTGTTCACAATTAAGTTTTAACGTTTTTGTTTTATTTATGTTATACTTGATCACAAATCAGCATCTGTGGTGGACCAACTGGGTCTGTGATTTTTTTAAACTCTACTTAAGTGCCAGTAGTTGTATTCCTCTGGAGTCTAAAGCATGCTTTTATTTTATTGGGGGCATGGCCAGGAGGGTCTGTCAAGAATGAGCAAGAAAGGGAAGCGTCAGTCTACACACTCGAGGCTTTTGGTGCAAAATGCCAAGATGTGCACATAATGTATGTTGAACTTCTTTTTCACCGTACGTAGCCAACCGTGCTAATCTGAGCTGCGGGGGGAAGGACAACACACTAAACACACAAAAAAACACTTATATCATTAAATGAGTTTTCAATTTAGATTTAAAATTGGTGAGCTCCAGTTGCTTCCTAATATCGGAAGGAAGAAGAGCGTTCCAGACGGCCGCAGCAGAAGCGCGTCTGAAAGCGCGCGATGCAGCGAACGTTCTTGGTCGATGGCTAGCCAAAAGGCGCTGCTGCGAGGATGATCGGAGTTTGCGTGATGATGGTTTATGCACCTTGCAGCAACCTCCAGAGGCTCGCAGAACACAGTGTAGTCAGATGCACATGGGTTTTTTGCTGGCTGGCTGTGCCCTCCTACATGTAGAAAGCTCTTAAGTCGTTTTTGTGTTGCGTTTAATTCTCATTGTTAATCTTTTTTTTTCTATGCGGTGGTGTTTAAGTTTGCCGTAGACATGTTAATGTTTGGTTAAGGCTTCTTCTTGTACGGTGATTCCATGCATTACAATAAAGTCACACAGTTATAAAAACGTGTGTTACCAACATTCGATTTCGATAGTTTTTTTACAGGTTTTGTTGCGCATATATTTTGTACTAAAATGGCAGATTAATTCGCGTGATTTTTTTACACAAAATTGCATAGAGTCAAAGCATTTAACCCCAGGTTTAAGGAGTACATTATTCCCTCGTGTGCTATGTATTTCTTTATTAAATATGTCTATCTCTCGGCGTATTGTCTTGCGTCTGGTTTTGGGCTGCACACTGCACAATATAACGCCGATATTTTGGAAACGATGCGGCAGGGACGGACCAGCAGCATGGCAGTCTGGGCAGGACTAACCTGGTGCTGACAGATAATAGTTCCTAGCGACAAACAACTTGCTGTGCAAAAACAACCGGGCACCGCTGCAAAACAACCCCAAAGATCCCCCCCCCCGTGTAGCCTTAACAGACTTTGGGGGCACCACCTATGAAGGCCGGAACGGTACACGAGGGGGTGGATGGCCAGCACCACGCCCGACCGCCTTTGTCTCCCCGGTGGCGATGTTTACTACACACCGCACCAGGTGCACAAGCGAGCCCGCGTGCAAAAAAATAGCCACTGCACGAGGCAGTTCGCGTGTCGCATTCTCAAAAGTGGAGAACAGCAGCACAAATACTTGGACAAGTCGTTATGCTCGTTTATCGTGGGTAGGTAGCATTAACCCCGTCACTTGCAGCCCTGCGAGAGGCACGGAGTAAGGTCGCCTCTGATATTTTTCAGAGTAGCAGGGCATCGATGATTGCATTGTGCATCGTGGGTCACGTCAAGAAAAATGGCCATTTTCACTTTGTGAGTTCGGAATTTCTCGACTTTATTTTAACGGCACAGAAACCAGCTAAACCGGAATGAGCATTACAAAAGGAGACACTTGAACGTACCTTTTATAGGCACCTGCTGAATACGCCAATGTTTGCAAAAGAAACGTACAGGTTTGAACCGGTGTAGATGCCATTCAATCGAGCACGAGCCCCTCTTCGTGTCGCACGCACCACCTCCGCTCGTGTTCCTGGAGCGAATGCTGCGTTCGGGAAAGAGCACACCGGTTTTAGGGCTGCTGCTGACATTGCCTCTGTACTTGTGCAATGAAAACAGTAAGAGTGGGCTTTATTTTGCCTATCTGGCAATAAAACGGGCGGTAAGATGGTGTAAAGGTGCCCAGAGAAGGTCCCACTAGATTTAACTGCTCAACCCGAGCTATTAATGTTTTTTTTTAAATACCAGCATTACCTTGAAACTGTTTGCCTTTTGGTGTTCTCTAGTCTATCACTGGCGAGGCAAGGCCATAAAGAAGGCTGTATCCGGTGCAGGCCAATTAGTTTCAAAGACGATATATTAAAGCCTGTTTGTTTGCATGTTTTGCCACAAGTACGTGTGGTAAATGCAGACTTGATGCATTGCAATAACTATCGATTTGGTGTTTGAACAGTTTAACATGTTTTATTGCCAGAAATGGTTAAGGCTATTTTTAAATCTAGAACCTATCATTATTTTTAATTGTTTTGATACTTGCAAATAAAAGTCTGAAAAATACACAATCCCTGCAGCGCACAGATACGCCACAAAAAACAATTTCAATGTACAGAGCATTGTGACAAAAGAGATCCATCTCAAAGGCACTTTACGAACATGAAACATAAACGACGTGAGAGTAGGAGGGTTTTTTGGTGGTCAGGGCAGGAAATCACGGGGGAGAGAGAGAGGAGCGGCACACCCTGGGACTGAGCATCTGGGGCATGACACCAACATCACGGACGAGGCCCTGCAGGGACAACAGCCAAGGGAGTGGACAGCACCAACGAGCCCAGGGCAAAACCAAACAGCAAAAAAGGCGTTTTTACCATTTCTGGCAAAAAAAAAACACCAAATGGATACGCTTCTTGAAAATGCATCAAAAGTTTGCATTAACCACACATACTTGTCCCATATATATAATTTCATTATAATGCGACTTTTTCCGATAACGGTGTTCTTCAAGAACGCAATTGCCGCGTTACGGAAGAACAGACTGTATTATATGCGATCCATGAACCCGAGCTAACAAAGCCCTGCATACCAGGCAGGAGCCGTGGCGTGACCGATGGGCTCAGAGGACACGCAACAGATTTACACGTTGCCTCGTGTGAACTTTGAATTAAAAATACACCTTTTTAAATATCTTACCAGGTAAGGCCCACTGAGCCACATAGCTCTTTTTTCAAAAGTTACCTTACCACAAATGATCGTTCAACGAAGTGACTTATGTGTAATGTATAGCAGCCGATGACTCTAAAACGCACGTTTCTAAATGTGGAGGGAAAATCTGGAGGACCCCGGAGAAAAATCCACGCGACCACGGGGAGATCATACAAATAAAAAAATACAGGTGTGGGAAACGAACCCATGGCCTCCTGCATAATGGCAATAATGATAATGCATACGTGTATACTTGTAGCTTGCCCAGTATCAAATACTCCCTAACATTGCCTTTCTCACTTATTTGTGTTAGCCGCAGCATTGGAAATATGCAAATACCCGAGTGTGAACTGGCGTGGTTGCCAATGTATTTCCACGTGCAATAAATCAGACTTCAGAAAATAAATCCAATGTGCACTCCCACAGAAAGTTGCCGTCTGATCATGGCTGTGGTAACTTTACGATGGAGGTCGTCTTATTTATGACGTTGCTGAAATGAACGCTTCACCATCGGGACCATTCCAGTGTGGGCGCGTGTCCGAATCTATAGATTTGATGTTTGTGTTTGTATGTATGTTAAACTCCTTTCTCATCGTACGTAGCCAACCGTTGCTAACCAGAGGTGTGCCACAAAGGTTATGTTTGCGCTACCTCTACAGGTATATTGAGTTACTGTATTTCATCACTCGTTAGCCATGCGTGTTACATACATGAGATGGAAAGGTAGGGTGTTACCTTAATTCGTGCAAGCCCAACATGATTCGACATTTATTTCTGTATTTAACTTGTGCGGATTAATTCTGTATTTAGTTTATTTTGGGTTAAATCATGTAGGTGTGCCAATGTTCAATTATACCCTCAGGCAACTGAATCAGGTTGTCACGTGGGCAAATATGCCAATTAGTTTGCTTTTTTTGTGCTGCCGAGAATTAAAATAACCACGAACACGAGTGTCGGTCGGTACCTCAGTACCTCGATTTTGTAAAACCAAAACCACGAACCGCAAGGGTGAATTTCATCGGTGTCGGAATGGGTCCAGACACCCGGAAAATGTCGGCATCACATCCAGCATCGTTGTGGCTACGAGGCACGTGCCCTACTCCAGTCAACCAGCGGCTCAGATAATATTCAGCGAGAAATAAATAATTGGCTGAGTAAATGTCAGTTCAAAATGTAAATTATTGGCAATTTGAACACATCTACAAACCTGTGTGGTACACGCAATTCCGTGTCAACACACACACTTCGTGAAACGGACACGCGGTTTTTCTTTTCTTTTTCCCAGCGCTCTTTTTTTTATCTGTGCACACAATGAGGCCACATCGTCCATCCTGGCACCAGCCACCGGATGTTGGACGATGCCGAATAGATATTGAACTCGGATGTTTCTGGTCAGATGACCGTTAGATAATGCGAGTCAAGGTTAAACGTTTGGCCCGTGACTTCACCTCGGCAATTGCTCGTGAACAACCAACACCAGCCGGGTGCGAGAGTCGCAAACCAATGTTTTTGCACGTGTTTGCGTGCGTAACCACGTGGCACCACGTGGCACCACAGGTCTGCAGTCACCACCTTCGACGTCACACGTGGCGACGGTGGCCGGTTGTGCCCGGCTTTGCTGCGACGAGCTCGGGCGCCAGTGTCTCATCAAACTAACATCCACGGAGGCGAGACTTATCTACTGCTGGATATACACAAATAAAACACATGCTGAACACTTGTTTTGAGATTATCCTTAAGCGAAGCCACCAGTGGTTATCCTATGGGTAGTGCCGGTCCCCCCCCCCCCCCCACAACCCCATACAATGTGTAATTTCCACAAATGGTTATTTTACAGAAAGACTGGACCCTGTCATAGAAATGTGGAGTTTTCACTGGCACAAGGATAAAATGACGATGCACAATGCTCGCGCATAGTCACACGAACTGGATTTCTAAAAGATACATGCCTTTATTTTATCTACCATACTCAAATGTGCATGCTACCTCTTGCTCAAGTCGAATATAAAAAATAACGTTCAATAACATCATTTGCGAATCCTAAAACTCTAGGCTTTCCCATTGACAAGAGTCCAACTCATCCGCAATTACTTTATTTCATAACTAATAAAATATACCACAGAAACAGTGGATATATATGTATTTTATAGGAAATGTCGGTCATGCGCAAAGGAAAAAAAAGCTCTTAAGCCTTGATTTGAACAGGGGCAGGTAGTCAACAGCTAGTAAAGGTGGGGAAAGGCGTTTCCAGGCTATGGTGCAGCAAAGAAGAAGCAACCTCCAAACCGATGCGTCACGGTGGCGAGATGTTCACGACCTCACCTGGTATGAAGTTGTGGATTCGATCCCGACCCTGACGCATGCATATTTGGAGTTTTGCGTGTCTTCCTGTGGTAGAAGTGATTTTTCTCCGGGTCTTCCCTCCGCATTTAGAGCATTTGGCTGCTATGCATTTCGAAACAATATGCCACTTTGAGCTATCATTTGTGGCTAGGTCACGTCTGAACGAGCTATATGGCTCAGTGGGCCATAGTTCCAAGAGTGAAGGCTGACCGGGGGCCTTCGATAGAAATATTGCTTTATGGAGCAGGGTGTGTGGAAGTGAATACATGGGAGAGGTGGGCAGGAGGGAGTCCATTGAGATTTAAATTGGTATGTACGGTGTTTTTGGGGAGACGTTAGAATAGGCAATACAGTTAAAAAGTGGCCGACGCCAAATCCCCAGCAGAGTCCATTCCGGTGTAATTTTCCCATGCCACGGATGTGCTTGAGTTGCGTTGCTGAGCACGGCAGCGCCACGACAGAATGGAATGCTCATTCAGCTTCACTGAAGCAACACTCAACAAAGTCTAGCTCACCGGCCCCACACGCCTCTAGAACAAAGTGAACCGCATGGTCTTCGCAACACAAATACAGTCCCGCAGCCGAAACAACCCCCCTTCAAGCAGAGCGCTCCAATTCTGTAATAAGACGCGAGGCCATTGCCGTTTGAATTTTTTTTCTTTATTTAACGAAGTAGGACTACAATTATTGAAGCCGCACGTTAAATGCACAACATATTTGGTTGTGCGCGATCATCCCAAAGCACAGACGGCTGATGGTGGCATACGCGCCCTGTTGAGGCAAGGCTTGGTGAGTCCCACGAAGGTTAAGCTCCCCTCCCGTGGGCAAACAGGTGCCGCCAAAGGGGGCACAGCAAATGTGGCCACCTTAACAGAGAGCCTGCAGAACTGGGGGGGGGGGGGGGGTGCGCCGGCCCATCACCTGGTTGTAGTTTGTGCTTCTTAAGCACTCAAGGGGTGTATTTTGAGTGAAATTAATATAAAATGATATAAACCACCATGAAAGTTAAATATGAAGTTGAGTTGCGCAGTGACAAAGCACCCTTTTGATTATAAAAAAAACGAACGATTCGGGATTCACTCAAGCCCATCTAGTTCACGATTTCTACCTCGTGGGAATTCAGCAACGTTCATCCTGTGTAAAGAAATCGGTTCCTTACAAAATTAACTCTGAGTCCACCATCGGTTTAGGAACAATAACCAAACAGCGTCAGAATGGAGGCACCGTTAGTATTTTGGTAATTTTACTCATGTATTAGTCCAATGCAGTGGTTCGTAACTTTTGCTGTTGCCTTGCACCCCTTTCGTTCTCAATCGTAAATTTGTTTTAATACATAGGGTTTGATTAAACAAAGCAGTTGTAGTACTTACATGCCCGTACTTAATTTGTTTTCGAGGATTTACCTTTTAAAAAAATCTGGGCATGTCTCGCACTCCCAGAAAGGGCATCTCACACCCCCAGGGGGTGCGTGCACTCCAGTTTAAGAACCTCTGGCCCACGTGATCATGAGAGTGATTAGAGTTCTTAGGTTCTATATGGGCTGGAACGTTGACTTTCCACAAATCGTCCGTGGTTTGAACCAGAAGAATCACAAAGAACTGAATTTTAGATTTTTGGCACCTATAAGCCACAACCCATACACGTTCCCACAACCTCATGCGTGGGAGACGGATTGCGACGTCACTTAGAATGCCGATAAAGCGAACTTTTTCAGTAGTGGCACAAAAACCAAACGCCTCATTGCAAGCGAGCTCAGTTTTACGATAACACATTGGTAAAGTTTTCTCCAAAATTAGTCATTCATAACATTGCCTTAAAGAGGGGGGAAATCGACATTATTTCAATAGCCCTTCTTGATAACACTTGCAATGAAGGGTTGTTCTGGGCCCTTCCACCTAGCAAATGCCAACCATCGCCCAATTACACATTTTACTTCGAAGGAAGCGTGAATGATGAATGTACAATAATTTGTGCTTGCGTATCAGTCCCAATGAAGTATTAAGGTCCCTTTTGTTTTCAATGTCTTCCTTTTGAGTTGAGCGCGTAAAACCTGTTAACCGAGGAAGGGACTTGTTTACCCCCTTAAGGGTGGAGCATCGCTTGTCTTCCGGGGTCATCGAAAAGGGCTGTTCGGCTGCCACCACATGGACGTACATGGTGATAACACAACCAGGGTAACAAAGATCACCCCCGTATAGCCTGAACAGACTTGGGCAAGTGCTATGAAGGCTGGCACGGCACACAAAGAGTCGAGTGGCCAACAGTGGCGATGATGTTTACACACAGACTGCACCAGGTACTCATTTGAGGCCGAGTCGACCTCGGGGAGGCCCATGACCGGTTAAGAATAATCGTCATTGGTGTTGGCCGTGAGCAGGAATCGAACTCGGATCGCCGTGTTTGCAGTGCAGAGCGCTAGCCCGCTACACTACCGCTCCCAACGCAACCAATGTCACAGGAAGCGAACTCGGAAGCGATCCACGATGAGAAATTCATTGTAACACGTGTTCGTTAAATTATATTGCAATAAAATACATATTCTGTGACGCTCCGTTGGCAGGTGCGCAAGCACAAACACCAGGAGACTCAAATGAATAACTGACATTGCCTGAAAAATACACAACAGGTTTTTTGGACAATGGCCCTTCATCTGTCCTTTTCCTAAGGCAGTGGTTTTGACAGATACGTGTTGAGTTTTTTGCCTTAAAATGTAACTTTCCATCTGGCGGATTTTAAAGAAAATTGTATTGCATTGTGGATTTTAGAAGGGTCCTGTATTTCATTAGTGCTTTCAGATTTCTTAAAAGCAGGTTCATAGAATATGGCCGATTCAGTGATTTATCTAGAGTGCTGTTATCACATGAGATTTTCGAAATGCATTAAGTACTTCCAACAAAAGTCTTACTTAAAAATGTATCAACTAGTTGTTTTTGCAATTCACCTAAAAACTTTGGAAAAGCTTTCACTGGAAAAATTAAATTTTTGCACCTTGTCAGAAAGTTTATGCACCACTCAATGTTTCAGAAGACATCTTGCCTGGCTTACAATTTATCTTAAAGGATTTTACTTCATGCCAGGCAACGGCACACCTTTATAATCTAGCACTGATGCAAGGGGCTGGTGAAACACAATATTGCAAAACTGCTTTTCTGTGTTGTCACCATACCCTGGCAGTGTAGCAAGGGAATCTCTATGGGGTTCGATCTGTACTGGGTGGGACATCTTCCCACCTCACACGTGTGGGTTTCTGCCAGGTGATCGGATTGCCTCCGAATTACAAACCAACCCTTTCCATTCCCTGGTTACGTACGCACACGTAATTGGAACGGATCTGTAGGGAAAAAAAAACTAAAATAACTATCAGTACTGTACCGAGGCTCTCACAAGGCCATGTGGAAATGCAGGCAGTAGTTTGGCTTGTTCATTGTGGCGAGTACAAAGTCGTTAAAAAAACGGCGTTATGCCTCAAAATGCCAACCACGCTTGCACGTTCCAAGATTGAGTGGGGAACAGGACTCACGCTTGCAGACGTCTCTGAACGGATTAAAATTGGCCAAACATGTCTTCATATAAATATTTTGAGCGTGGGTAATTTGAGACTGGCTCAACGGCTGGCTGCTTTTCAGCTTTAATGTCTCCTTGCGCCCACGTTGATCTCTCGAAAGAAAAAAATGTTTAAAACATGTATATTAATACATATTTAGAAGCATGTTCTTCTCCTCGAGCGAGCAAAAACCTGTGCGTGTGTTACAGGTCAAAATTATTGTCATGTCCTTAAAAGCCAAACTTCCTAGACATCACGTGCCTCGCAAACACAATGACCTGTGATCAAATGCTTTGATGCTGGACAAGTGACAAATTGAGACCACACCGCTTGGGATTAAACAATCACATTATAAAAATAAAGAATTTATTAAAAATATATGCAAACAAAGTATTCAATTGCATTTAAAGCATAGGAATTGAAATCCCCACTTTAACAAATGAAACAATCTAACATCTCTTCAATCAGTTGTCTTACGGTTTACATTTTCACATGGAGTGAGGTTGTTTTTTGTGCAGTCATGCCACTTCTAACATGCCAAAGTTGCATTTTTTACTTGTGTATTGGAGTTGCTGAGACAATAATTAAACTTTTTTTTACATTACCAATCCATGCATTATACAACTTGTAACACTTAAAACACAATTCACAACAAACACAACCACATCGGACCTAATGGCTTACCCTGTTATGGAGTTGACCAGTTCTCCAGTCCAGTGCCGACAGCTTCACTCCAACCTAAGAAAAATGTAATTTCCACTCGGGTATTAAAAGTAGAAATGAGAGGACATGCACGTCCTGGTGGACAAAAAAGAAAGAGGAAAGTATCCCTGTAACTTACCAACTCAAGCCTGTTACTGGCTTTTGTGGATATTAATATCAATAGCTTCCTGCACTCTGAGAAAAAAATGCCTGAGGCCAACACCTGGGATTTCTTCTTCCTCTCATTGCACTCCTTCCCTCAAAAAAGAGACTGGTTGCGCATTTCTTCCTTCCGGGCCAAGCTGCCTGCTGCTTTCCTCCCTCGTGCTGCCGTTGTGTGGGGTCGGGTCCCGTGTCTGCCGCTTCTGCACTGTGTGGGGGGCTGCCGGCTTCCTCAGCACGCTTTTCCTTGCTGTAGAGATTCCTTACTTGCCTTCGGGCGCGCGCCACGTTGAAAAGGGGGGGACACATTCCAACCACTCTCGCAGCCAGGGGACGAACTGTGAGCGCCGCCTCTCAATTCTCTTAGCTTCACCGACTACTCAATCAAACCAAAAACTTAAACGTACTTCAGAAGTAGTTGTCTACAGCTTTATTTCACTTTTGTACAAAACATAATTCTTCACAGCAAATGCATTGCCAACTTACTCATCTTGCAATACATCCATGGAAAAAAAAACAGATACTACACTCAAACCTGTTGTCTATTGCATGTGTATATGGCCTAAATTAACATGCACCACTAACATCTGAATTACATGATCATAAACTTGTTCGATAAAAATACAAATCGTGGCAAAACCCTGGCTTAAAAAAAATCTGCGAATTTCAGACAAATGTAGCCATGACACGTGATTTTAGTCTTGCTACCTGTACTGCGTCTTGACTCGCTTTGCTTGCTGCAGGATTCTTTCCTGCCTCTATGCACTGTCTGACACTCCCTGGACTGAGTCAGAACCCTGACGCTGTCCTTCCAAGTCAGCTCAGCCTCCCTTATTTATGGTACATTGATGCCTGCAGGAGAGAAATATGGTTACAAAAATCAATATGCATGCAAGATGGGGGAAAAAAATGGGCTACACAGAAATTAACAGACAAGGTTGTAAATGCACTTAAGTGGCAATGAAAGACAACACAAGTAAGATTGTGTAAAAAAAAAATATTGGAAAATTTTGAATGTATCCTGTGAAGAGGTGAATTGATAGATGTGCATTCACATTTTAGTCTGGAAAAAAAAAACAAATCGTACCTTTCGGGGGGAAAATGAAGCAGCTCTAATATCGGTTGCGTCCGCTTCTATAGCCTCCGCCATCACTCCCCGAGGAACCATAGCCACCTGAAAAAATTGAGCAAAAAATAATTTACTTCAACACCCAACTCCAACGCAGAGGGAAATGCATTAAAATGACGTGAAAAACTGCTTCTACATGGTGTGAGAACTAAATCACTTCGCACATGGTAACAATACTTCAATTTCAAAAGACGTCAAGGCACTCTAAAAAGATTGCTAAGACAATACAATGGTTTGAGAGTCTGATAGTGATTATATGGCAAAAGCCAATGCTCAATAAAACTGAATTTGTCAAAATAATAGGTTAACAAAGGAGGAATAACTTGCGAGTGGCGGGCGGCGCAATTTGAACAATTTTCGAAAACCATTGTAATATGGCACTTGACAATGTTGATGTAAATGAAATCTTCCTAAAGATGGCACTGGAGATCGATTAACACTAATGCATTACTGAACAAACATATCTCACCTCCGTAGGGACCGCCACCGCTCCTGGGGCCACTGTAACTGCCACTGCTCCCACCACCACCATCACCACCGTGGCCTCCCTTCAAAGGGCCGTAATGCGAATGTCCCTGGCTGCTGTAGTTGCCAAAGTCGTTGAAATTGCTGCCGCCGCCACCGCCGCCTCCAAAGTTACCTGCAAGAGCGACTGTTCCTGTACTGGTCTGACTTGCTACATCGCCTTAATGACAAAAAGAAACAGTGGTTTTAGGCTATGGCTAATACACATTGGACTATCAGACACCAGGTTTTTTCTTTTATCCAGACCGAATTTGCAAATCCCCTGGGTTACATCTGCCTGATGATAACGGAGCCCTTATTTAAGACGTCACACTTACCACCACCATAGTTGCCGCCGCCGCCACCGCCGCCGCCCCCGCCGTGCTGGTTATAGCCACCTCCTCCACCGCTGTAGCTCCCGCCGCCTCCATATCCGCTGCCTCCGCCTCCATATCCGCTGCTTCCACCGCCACCACCATAATTGCCACCCCCATGGCCACCCCCATGGCCACCCCCGCCGCCTTGTCCACCACCACCCCCACCATGTCCATGTCCACCCCCACCATGTCCACCCCCACCATGTCCACCCCCGTACCCACCACCCCCACCCCCATGTCCACCACCCCCACCTCCATGTCCACCACCCCCATAACCACCACCCCCACCTCCATGTCCACCACCCCCATAACCACCACCCCCATGTCCACTCCCTCCATAACCACCACCCCCATGTCCACCATGTCCACCATAACCACCACCACCTCCTTGGTAGTTTCCTCCACCACCATAGCTTCCGCCTCCTCCTCCTCCATGGTTGCCATAGCCTCCACCACCCATGTTTCCCCCAAAGCCACCTCCTCCTCCTTGGTTCCCAAAGCCGCTGCCGCCGCCACCAAAACCCCCTCCTCCTCCATAGCCACCACCTCCCTGGTTGCCATAGCCGCCACCGCCGCCAAAACCGCCTCTACCACCCCCACCATATCCACCACCTCCTCCGCCGCCAAAGTTTCCACCTGCAAAAAAGATAAAAAAAATACTATTCAAGAAATTCCATAAAATGTAAATATGTACATAATAACAGAGCTTGTTGTCAGGGTATCCCCACTGCAAGTCGGCTATGAGAGTTGTTTGACCATGCTGGTCATTGCAGGCTGGTTAAGGGGGGGGGGATACCAGGACCAGTCAAGATATCACTCACTTGAATTGTTCGCAACATGTGCAACACTGCCCTAGCTCCCGTTTACAAATGCACTACTTACTTCGACTGCAGGAAATGATAAGTGACAAAAAATAACTCTGTGCGCACGCGGTTGTTCAGATGCTCTACTCACCATCACCACAACCGTTGAAATCTCCGCCTCCATAATTTCCCCGACCAAAACCTGCCCAATGGACAAAAGCCATTTTATTGTGTCAACTTGGAAAACGGATTTACATTAAAAGGGGCATACAAGACACTAAGCTACTCGTAGACTATAGAGTAAATCATTCAAAGAGGACAAACACTAGAAGAAAATATTGACAGAGGAACAAACGAGCGCAAACTCTGCAAATGACTTACCACCCCCCCTTCCACCAGAAGGACCAAAATCTCTGTTATATCCTCCTCGGCCTGACAAAAAAAAATAATCGCAAAAACGAATAAGCATCGAATATTAAGCACGATGTAACAAACGTCTCTTCACACAAATAATACGACTTACCTCTGCCGTAATTTTGCAACTCTTGCTTTGGAAGGGCTTTTCTGATTTCACAGTTGTGTCCGTTGATGGTGTGATACTTTTGAACTGGAGATTAAATGAAAAAGCACAATTAATGATGAACATTGCATTTCAACACATGCAATCAGTATAAAGAATTTAAAGGAGGAAAACGCATAAAGAGACTTACCAACAATTTTATCCACGGGGTCATGGTCATTGAAGGTAACAAAGGCAAAGCCTCTCTTTTTTCCAGATTCCCTCTCCGTCATAACTTCAACAATTTCAATCCTCCCATACTTTTCAAAGTAATCTCGCAAATGTTCTTCATCGGTATCATCTTTGATTCCACCAACAAAGATCTTCTTAACAGACAAGTGAGCTCCAGGTCGCATCGAGTCCTGCAATAAAAATGAGTTTTGAGGTCCTTGTAAAAAAATCTCAAAAGCAAACGTTTCTAGAATTGCAATGTCAAGGTGGACAAACACTAATGCATAATGTGAAAATGTATTTACGATGGAGTACCAATCTCCATTTTTGCCTGGAAAGCTGCAGAGAAAAATAAGTTTGGCAAGCACCAACAAGTCTGGGGTTGTATGTAGAACTTCTTTCGAACTACACGTAGCACTGTTGGCTATGTACAGTGTGAAAGAAGTTCAACATGCATACAAACACTAAACACAAAAAAGGCAGTTCTAAAGAAATGAGTTTTAAATCTAGATTTTTTTTAAAGTTCATGAGCTCCAGTGGCTTCCTAATGTCAGAAGAGCGTTCTGGATTCAGCAATCAAGTGGACCCACCAACCTTACCCACCACTCCTTACCTCTCGAGACACTGCCCGCTTGGGCTCCACCATTCGCCCGTCGATCTTGTGAGGCCGGGCAGACATTGCTGCGTCAACCTCTGACATGCTCGAAAAGGTCACGAAGCCAAAGCCCCTCGACCGCTTGGATTGTGTGTCCTTCATGACCTGAAACAAACACACCAACAAATTAAATGGTTAAAAAGCGCACCGTTATTTCATCAAATAACAGGCAAATGCTTACGAATAGCATGCACGGTCCTTAGGGCAGGAGAACGAATGCACGTACCACACAGTCGGTTAGGCTTCCCCATTGCTCAAAGTACTGCCGGAGGCCCTCTTCTGTTGTCTCAAAGCTAAGCCCTCCAACGAACAGTTTCCGGAACTGCTCTGGCTCACGATCCTGGGTGGAAATAATAAATTCGAACCATTAGAAAGACACGTTTGACATATGCTTTATACAGAAACTGCAAGACAATTTGAGTGTGGAAAGTCATGACGTTTAAGCAATATGAAAGCGGAACATGCCATTTAAAGACCTTATGCATTTAAGGCAGTGCGCTTTCGTGATTAATCTCGAGATCATTTAGAGCATTATGAAATAAACACGCACGTTAAAAGCAAAGTGTAATCAGTGCTATAAGTACGTAAAAATGGTGCTCAGCTTTTTTCTCCGTTTTTAAGTGGGATGGAGGTCTTGAACGCATTTCGCCCCGGAACGTGTGCTCTGAACTGTCAGCACCCTCATCGATATCCCAGGAATCCTCATGAAACTAGTGGCCAAAAAAAACCAAAACGTACATTTGGGTTAACTGTTGAACGTGCATCCCTCACCACAATTGCAGTTGTTCCTATTGTGCGTAAAACTATGCGTTTTAATGCGCCATCGTTACGATGTGAAATGCATTTCAAGTTTGAATATCGAACACCCCCCCCCCCCCCCTTTGGCTCGCAAACGTGCAGCCCATTCTGTCAACAAAGCGCCTTTCTACAAGGTACTAACATCGACTTTTTTGCTGACTTGCACGGAACCTATACATCTCATACACGGTGTTTGTTCAGCCAAACAATCTCTTGAGATCGGGCATTTGGGGTGTAATTTGGTCAGAGGCGGCTCACAGCGCTGGACCAATTATCAGCATTATGTACGGATTTCCACGTGTAAGGGTTAACACCAATAGCCAATACCTTGGGTGGTGGCGGTGAATCACGGTTGTGAATAATTAACACGGAATGGACGACATTGACGATTGTAAGATTATCGGGGAAAACCAATCTCCATCACGAAGTGTGGTCCATGGTGACACCCCCCCACCCACTGGGAGTCTTCAACCTTACGAACAGAAGCCAATTGCGCAATTACGACCCGATATTCCAAAACATAACACACGATTCACATAATCGCATCCGTTATCTGGCACCAGCCGGCAAATTAACAGCGGAATTGGTGATTAATGCGGACCAGAACCGAAAGACTTGCCCACAACACGCGGACTAAATCGGATGAATGAACAGACCCAGGGGTTGTTGTGGTTGGTAAACACAGTGGCAAGGCTGCGGGCGCCGTGTAATTTGCAGCCACTCAACGAGGATATTAGATACGGATGGGCTGACCGACGGGGGTGGATAGATAACCACATCGTTAAACAGGAGGGGGGGGGAGGGGGCAGCGCGGCAAATGGACGCTCTCGCTCTCTCTGCACAACACGCAACCCGAGCACTTTACAGGCGCGAAGTGCCGCAACCAACAACGTCGCCTCTCGGCGAGTCCGATCCAAGTGCGCGTCGTGCGGCGCTCATTAAGCGCCGCTCCGTCCCGCCTCGGCGCCTTAAGGCCGTCGATGTCCATTGCAAGCTCCCCCACGACCGCCATGTCGGCCTGAGGCCCTGTCCTTCCAGCCGACACTAAGGGGCCACGCTCACATCTTCTTCTCCAACCTCGATGTCCTCCCACCCCCCTCGTCACGTCTCCCGCACGCCCCGGCGTGCAGTAAACCTCCCCTCGAAGCGCGGGTCGGATATATATCGATCTCTCTCTCCCGCACGAAGCCCGCGAATGGCGCGGGCCCGCCATGCCGCATAGGGAGTTTCAATCGACACCAGCACGCGGTGTGAGCGCGGTCCTCCCCCATCCATCCATCCCACGACCAGTGCCTTGCCCACACCTCCCCGTCCCCCCATGCGCATTTCCCTTAGTCCACCCTCGTGGGTTTAACCCGGCGAGGGTGGACTAAACTCCCGTTGCCAGCCCCGCCGTCGCGTCTGCCACATTCTCACCTCCATGGTACAAAATGTCGGCCAGAGGTCGGGCAATGGTGGTGGTAACGGACGGGTTGGGGGGGGGCGCCAACTACCTCCTCTCCGCCTTATATAAGCACGGCACGCCACGCCCCGCGAGCGCGCGATTGAGCAAGGGTAGCCGCCACGTGACCCCCGCGTCGACCAACGGCGGTCGCGGATTCCATCCCCCCCCTCCTTCTCCTCCCCCCTCATTTTTTGGCGCCATTTGGCGGCGTCGTGAACAGTTCGCGCACCGGAAGCGGAAACGGGCGACCACTTCCGCCGTCGCCCCCCGTGTGTGAGAGAATAAAATATTTTTTTGTAACAAATTAAATTACATTTTTTTTTAAACAAAAACTCCGACGCGACTCCCCCCCCCCCTGAGTCGCTTACCAAGTTGCAATCGCCGCGGCTGGTGGCGGGCGCCCGGGGTGGAGGGGGGTGGTGGTGGTGGTGGGGGGGGTGGCGCCGAGAGCAAAAAAAGCGTGTTCCCGTCCTACCCGTGAGCTTTTGACGTTCGAGGCTTTTTGCCGCCGTCGTTGTGCGACTTCCGTCGGCGAGGCCGTGGTTTTTTTTGGCGCGTAGCGGGAAGGCGCCAGACTCCCACCCACCCGTCCGTCTCATTCATTCCCGGAGCGAGCAGCAAAGCGGCTGGACCGCCTTCCCCCCCCCCAATGTAAGCCAAGGCGCGCCCTTCCGACGTTCGTTCCCGCGGGAAGCTCCGCGCGGCCTCGTTTGCTGGAATGGCGCGGCGGCGGCGTCGTCGTTGTTGTTGTTGCCGCCGCCGCTGCCGGGGCCCCGTTTTGTTTTGTGTACGCGCGGTGTGGTGTGTGGTTTTGTTGGGGTGTGGGGAACATGGCCGCTCGAAGATTTTTACGCGCTCACGACGCGAGTCGTGTTGGGGCCACCCGTGCCTGGGGCTCTCCAGGGGGGCCACTTGGGGGTGGTCCGGCGGGACGCGCGGGGCCATGGGGAAACCCGCGGTGAACCTCGGCGCTGCTGGCGAGATTCAGCAAGAGGCCATTGGACGGTTGCAGGAAGAAACCCCCCCCCCCCCCACAAATTAACCCTTGGGTCGGCGTTCAGTTCGGCGGCACGCTTGTGTGTCGATTTGGGGGTAGGGGATGAAGGGGGCGCGGGGTGCCCCGGGGAACTTGAGGCCTCGTTTGGTTCCGCTGCCCGCGGGATAGCGGCTCAACGGAAGGTGGACAATTTGCTTTAAACATCTCGTCTCAAAAAGTCGAGATTTAATTTAGTTTTATTTTATTTCACCTACGTGACTTTACCGAAAAAAAACAAAGAGTGGATCTCGTCTCAACCCACGTTGTCTGCTCTTCTTAATAGATGAGTGCACAACCTACACTGCACGCGTTCAGGGTAAATTGCACATGTTTTTTTTTACAGAAACGACTAGCGGGGATTCCCAGCCCCACGCGGGTGCCCTGTTGCCTGGATGATGCTCCTTATCCGCTTGAGGCGCCTCTTGCTCCATCAACGGGGCAAACGAAACTCTGGGACCGTACAGAGTACCGTACAGCTTAAGCCGCAATAGTTATGCGCTCCTTCAACGGCTATCAGACCTCGGGCATCGGCACTTAGCTCCCGGAACGAGAACAGTATTTGCCCTCCGCCAGGATGACAACAGAGGCCGAGGAGAATGCCGTGTAAAACATTGCTGATCCAAACTCCAGCACCCCCCCCGCCCCGGCCGTAGCGGCCGAGTGGAGTGATTGATTGAGATGGAGCCAAGCAATAAGGGGGGCTTGGTGGAGGAGCTGGGAAGAAGATTCCTTGCTGGTGGTGGCGCCACCCAGATGCGTGGAACGTTTTAAAAGCGCAATGCATGTTTACATCATTGTGATTATGCATACGTCAGCGATACGTAGGGAGTTGTTTTTTTGTGGTTATTGCATCGTCAAAATACACTTTTTAAAAAAAAATGTTTACGGGTGTATTTTAATACACGTCATGATGATTTGCATCTCAACAAAGGCAGCGTATTGTATACAATTTGTGTTTAATGTAACGTTTGGGCATGAGCGGACTTTTGGGGGCCGGGGGGTACACAGACAGGCAATGTCCCTCACCCCAAACTGGACGCCTTTGTTAAGTAATCTTCAGTAGTTTACAATTAATATATTTAAAAAAACTAATTAAGCACCCGCGATTCTTAATGTGAGGGACACACCTAACCCCTGCCACCCCCCCCCCCTGAAATGTAGAAGTCAAACTCTGCCGATGCATTTGAGCCCCACAAATAATCTGTAAATTGGCAAAATGTTGTCTTCGTTGAAATATTGGAACGTGAATGTAACGTGTGTGTTACTGTCGTGTGTGAATGTACACGTGAAATGGCGTTCAGCCACGTGTGTTTTTGTTTGCCGTGGAGTGGGGCTCTTTTCGCAGATTCATGGCCTTACGATGTCATAACACTGTAGGTTATTCACTCCGGAATTTAATAATGGGAGTTTTCTGTGGTTAGTTCTAGAATGTTCTGAGCCCCACCCACCGATCGAAGTAGTTTCAGCTCATGCTCCTGAAAACCTGGGCATGCAGGATTCCGATTGGCTGTTGAATTGCACTCGTTGAAGGTTGAAGTTAACTCCGCCTCCAATTTTTAATTATAAAAGCATGAATCTGTAATTATTAAGTTAATTCTACCCGCAACTCTTGGAGGAGCGAAATATTGTATGTGCCGGACTTGAGTATATGCGTATCATCGTGAAATCAGATGGGGCATCGGTCGAGAGGCTCGTCTTTGGAACATTGTGTGTCCCCCTCTGCAGAGAATGTGCACTGCATTGAGCGGGGAAACCGTTGGAACATGATACAATATAACATAGCCCCCCCCCCCCCGTGTGTTGTCTTTGCATTTGGCAACAAGCACATCACCTTGTCAGTGGGCTGAGGGGGGGAGTTAAGTTGGTGCCTGTTAAATACCGTGCACCCCACTCCTGAATTATCCCGCTATTTTTGAGGACAACGAGGCTCGAGTTATATAAAAAAAGAAAGTCCAATTGTCTGGTGTACTTCTAACCACGTTCCGAAATGTGCTTGTTCAATGGGTGCAGTTACAATGGGAAAACAGAAGACCAGAAAGGAGAAGAGCGATCCGGATCCCCCCGCCGAGGAGGAGTATGTAGTGGAGAAGGTCATGGACCGAAGGGTGGTGAAGGGAAAGGTGGAGTACTTTCTCAAGTGGAAGGGATTCACAGAGTAAGTCTTATGAAGAAAAATATAATAATTAATTTGCCACTACTGTTGGTGGCTAATGCAGTTATAGTCTCCCCCAGAAAGTCACCGAGGCTCAAGATGCTTTCAGGAGATCGCTGCATTTCCATATTTGGTTAATTGCATTAATGAGTGGCTTTTTATGTGTAACCGAAACATATATAAAATCTCCCAAAATAACACTTGTAAGCCGCCACACAGAATCGTATTCATGCATGTATGCTTAACTTTCGTACTGTACGTAGCCAACCATGCTTATCGGAGGTGCGCGGAAGGACAAACTAAGCACAACGTTCAATCAATATACCCAATATATTGCTTGTATGTGTAGACTTGAGTCCATTTCTGAACTGCCATTCTCTGCCTATAACATTATGTTCCGTGACAGTCTCCCATCCAAGAACTGAACTGACTTAATTCTGCTTATCTTCTAAGGTTGCCGAAATTCGGCACGTGCAGGTTCAGATGGACAAATCTTGAGTCCATGTAGCACTGCCACTCCAATAGGGAGGCTGGTGACAATTCCAGCGGGGAGGCTGATGACAATACACCTAATCCTGGGCACAATTCCAACCATTAAACATTAAAAGGCTGTGTTAGCAGTGGTGCACATGTATCACTTGCAAAAACACGTGGGCCACCCTTGTAAACTTGTATTGACCATATCACAGTATTTAACATTCTCAATTAATTGTATTTCTAAGAAGTATGTGTCACTCATCTATACACTCTAAACACATTAAAGCTGCATCACATTCACAAGATGGTGGTCGTAGTGCCCTTATTACACATTACAATTGCTATCAGTTGTGTTCCACTTGCCACTAGTGTGGTACAATACATAAATGATATCGTTGCTGGTGGAGTGCATTCATCTTCATATTTTCGAATAAGACAATTCTCATCAGTTATCCAGTGGCATGTCAACTCGAACAGACTAAACTCAATGCCACATAACAATCAAATGATGCAGTCCCCGAGTTACGAACGTCCGACTTGAGAACATCTGTACTTACAAAAGAACCATAAGATGTTATGTATTTTACCATCCGACTTGCGAATTTTCGATCGTACTACCGAACCGCAGAACTTTTTTTTGTCAGCGGAGCGATTCTCCATGAAATTTAATGAGTCCCAGCATCCTAGAAACGCCACTTATGATAAGCAAGATAGTTAGTATCAAGGCTGGAGGTAAGTGAAATAAAAACTATTTTTTTCTATTCATGTTGCTTTATTTTATGTTTTATTTGCTATGCAGCATTAGAGTATTGCATGCATATGTACAACATTTCTGCGTATGAGTTTAACAATGCTTTTTCTAAAATTGCAACACATTTAGAAACGGGTCTTGGGAATGTACCATGTTTGTAAGTCGATGACTGCCGGTATATAGTAGACTATTTGGGATAAAAGGCCCTTTTCTCACATAGACAGGGGAAAAGATAGATGTATTGGTGGAGAGCACTTTGAGCCATATGAAGGTCTGAGATGCTGAACAAGACATTGAGCGACACTTCCGGTTTTATTTTATACCCCAAACCGACGTTTACAATTAAGATGAGATAGACCCTCTGCAACCTAAAATCTTGACGCTTTTTGACCGTTTCAGTTGGACAGACACAACTAATTGAATTGCATTACAGCACTAATAATCAAAAGTACTTTTTGATTGGAGTGGGATATCAAAGAGAGAGCCTAACAAACTCAAGATACTGTTTGGTAGTAGCGTTATATAAAAACTGACTCTATTTGTCTACCCTTGTTTTTGTCTAGGGAGGATAACACATGGGAGCCCGAGGAGAACCTGGACTGCCCTGACCTTATTTCGGAGTACCTGGGCACGAGCAAGGGCAAGCAGCAGGTGTCCGAGGACAAGGCTGAGGGCACCAAACGGAAATCTGCCTCCCTCAATGGCACTGGAGATAACAAGGCCAAGAAAAAAAAAGAGGCAGGAAAGGTATTTGTCAGAAACACAACTTAAGTTTTAAAGACCCATACGTATGTTGATTATTCTTTCACACAGTACGTAGCCAACCATGCTAATCGGAGGTGTGGGGGAAGGAAAACAAACTAAACACATTCTGAGTCAAATGACCTAGTCTCCTGATTTGAATACAAACTAATGAGCACTCACTTGGGCATTAGTAGTTTGCAAAGTGCACGCATATAGTCTGACTACTGTAATTAAAATATGGTTCTCTGGGAATGTCTCACACACAGCGTAAGATTTGTGTGCATCACCTGGTTACAAAAGAAAGCACATGGTTTTTGAAGACTATAGTCCTGCAGCACTTGTTTAAAGTCGGACTGCCAGTTATTGTAACTAGTTGTCATAGTGTAGTTAAAAGTATGTATAATTCACGTTCCCCCTTTGGTTATTTTTAAGGACCCAAATGCAGTGACAATTTAACCAACCATGTATAAATAGCGCCGTTATAATAGTGTTGGGCAATTTGTTCACATTGGCAGACTATTGGATTTTGTGAACTTGCTATCAAGAGAGCTTAATTATGTCCCAATATTGGGGTTAGTATAATCTATTTGGTCAATGGAAAAAGACGTGACCTATAACCTTGAATATTGATCCATATGGCCTGAAATAACAAGTAATTACTTTACCCTACTTTAAGTCATTTGTCAAAATTACCACGTGAAAAAAGACTGATTTACAATTTATTCAACTGTAGAATATGGAAATTATACCCAGAGCAATCCTGATTTGATATGGTAGCTTTGACATGTTAAAATATATTCTGTACGTCTTGGTTCATTCTACATCTTTGAATTTACACTGAGAAATTAAATACTACTGTAATACGTGTATTTTAAATAGTTTTTTTATTGTTACATACACACTGCTAGTATTGTTCTTGTAAAATATCCATTTTGCCCAACTTAAACTGTTCACGTTAATGTGAGTATTTACAATTCGCACTCTAGAATTATCTCTTTGAAAACATATCAAGACAAACCCTTAGTAGTTTGTTTAAATACTAATAAGGTATGTACAAATGATTGGCTGTATTGCACATATATTTAATTGCATTGAATGTATCTTTGTAATTTTGGAAAATGTAAAATGGCAGATAATTAGGAATTATTTTATCAGAATGTGAATTTGTGATTTAAGTATTAAAATAACATTTCCTGCAAGGAAGGTTCTATAAACAAATGTTTAAAGAAATGTAAACAGTGATAACTTTTGTACTTGACAATATAAAATGTAGTTTCCGCTAACTTAAACCAAGGCTGTTTCCTACTGATGGTATTTGTTATTCGCCTTTTCAGGTAGGTCAAGAGATTGGATTTTCTCGGGGGTTGGAGCCAGAGAGAATAATCGGTGCCACGGACTCCAGTGGAGAGCTTATGTTCCTCATGAAATGGTACGGCTGTGAACACAATACATTTACATGTAGTCTTGGTTCTTTCGGTAAAATCACGTAGAAGGGAAATAATAAAATAATAAAAATTAAACAATCAAATTATCACAACGTTTCGATTGCAACACAAGCAATCATCATCAGGTGTGAAAACCACAGCAATATTTTTTTTGTTAAAGTGGCGGGTTTTTTTGGCCACTTTTTATTGTATTATTTTCCTTCTATGTGACTTTACCGATAGAACCAAGAATATGAATCTCTGCAGTCACGAAAACTTTAAATCGACATTTACATGTAGTTGACGCTCATGTGTGTGCTGTATTATGCTGACTTGTGGTTTTAAGTAAAACATTTTTATCACATATTTACAACCCTAGAATTTACATTGAGGCTGCATTTAATCCAAAAGAGTTGTATTCGTGACGTAATAACCTTTGTTGCCAAATTATTCCTAACAATTGCTTTACGTGTGGTGTAAAATGTGGTATACTGCTGCTGCCAGATGGTGCTCTTAATGCGGTTCGTGTGAAACTAAAAGGGGGCACGTGAATTAAAGACGATCCTGTCTGACTTTTCCGCAAATGTAGGAAAGGCTCGGACGAGGCAGACCTCGTCCCAGCCAAGGAGGCCAACACGAGTTGCCCGCAGATCGTCATCTCCTTCTACGAGGAGCGACTCACCTGGCATGCGTACCCTGACGACGACGCGGATAACACCAAGGAGGACAAAGCCTAGGCCATGGCGCGGGTGACTGGGCATCCGGAATCGATGCAAACAACGAAAGCGCCATTTCCCGTTCTTCAGATACTGATAATCTACACAACAAATACACCGTAACGTTTCAGGTCATAATTGATGGTGAGGGTTTTTTGGTATGTCGTAAAATAAAATACATGTTTTATGAAGAAGAAAAAAGTTAAGTTTTCATGTAGTTTTTTTTATTGATCAGGAGAACTTTTGAAGTATTTTCAGTGCACCCAATAATCCTCCACGCATTCAATGGTCGTGAACTGTGTCGGCGCTTTGAAAAATAAAAACGCTGTTTTTTGCAAGTACTATATGTGCACAAAAGTGGTGTGCTGCTGAGGAGGAGGGCATTCCCACACATAAAGGATGTTAATCTGTCGTGGCACAGTGCTTGCTGAGGAGCAGGTCCCTCCCCCGTATGTTGCTCTCGAACCGAGTTGAATTAGTGAGCTGCTACACTATGCCCAGGGGTTATGTTTATGTTAAATTGTGCAGCACTGAAATACGTGATAAAATAACTTTCCAAAATGATGTCTTAGAGCAATGTATGCTTATGGAATGTTACCACTCAAGATGACAACTGGTGTGACACGCAGATAATGGCTACATCTAAAGTGATGCGTACTTTTTGTTAAAATATTTAAAATCAATAAAGTTTAGTCCACATTGAGCCAAACTTTATATTTTGATTGATGGTTGCTTAGTTGGGAGTGAGCACATTTGCCTGAAACATGTACCTTATAGCTGCGATTGCAACGGAAGTGTTTAAACACTGCATATTAACATGTCCACTCAAATAGTCCTCAAATTTTCTGAAAATTGATTTTGTCCATTCAAACATTTCCAGATATATAGAGGGACCTGCACTCAAGTCAGCTGCTTTTATTTATAAAAAAAAACTCATTATCTTAGCCCACCTGAGATGCATGGGATATAGAAAATTGTGGTGTGGACTTGGTGCGTTTAAAGAGCACACAATTACATGATCAGAAACAGCTGTCCATTTTGGTTATTGCACATTCTGAAGTGCATGGGATTTTTTGTGTGAATAAAGTCTCGTCATAAACCAGTTTTTGCAATGTGCAAGATTATTATGAACCTAACTTGTTTGTGAATGCTTTTCATCTTATTCTTGTTGAAATTGTGCTGTTTCTATTAACAAAAAGCTATGACCATTTTGGCAAGATGTAAAATCTGGCTCTGGGTGTAAAGTTACGGCTGTTGACATCAATCGAATGTTAGTCGGTGATTGTTATTAGTTTAAATGTTGGCTTTGCTTGCTGTTGGCAAGGCCAAAAACTGAATTGATGGTTTGCTCATTGGATAAACGAGTTTTTGTTAAGATCTTGCAGAACATTCTGTGAAATATCACAGCTCCAGTTCTTGTCATCTTTTTATTTTATGATCCTGTGAGTTTTGAACTGCTTGAGTAAGCTACTTGGTCATCGTGCATATTTTCTAAACTTTGTAATTACAGTATCAAATTGTAGGTTTTAAAATCTAACGTGAATGGGCCCCTGGTTTTTTTTGTGAAAGTTAATACGTTTTTTTATTTAATGGCAGCCTTGTTTAAAGCAGTATTTCAAATTTTTGGACAATGGCCGTTGGAATGCATATTTTTCTCACTCCATTTTGGTAACAATTATGTCCAATAAAGTACATTGGTTTTTAATGTTCTCATGTTTTTATTTGTGCTTTTCTGCCCGTTATAAGCTTATTGAGTATCGTTCAATGGTTAAAAAAAATAAACGTTTTGCAACAATTTTCGACAACTGAAAGTTGCTTTTTTAGTACACGAATTTCACGAGGTGTTGCTCTACAGTTGATTTTCAAAACGACTACGTTTAAACAGCGATTTTCTGGTTCATTTTGCAGCATACATGCTATTTAAAGCAATTCAATGTAAAATTGTACACTTCCAAGCAGACGGAGAGCCCCCCCCCCCCTTTGGGGCTTTCATTGGCCCTGGGTTACTCGTGCTTTGAGCGAAATAATGGTCAGTCCAATTACTGGAAGCTGTGCAAGTTATGACATTAAAACAACGAAACATCAGGGCTGCAGCATATTAGATCAATTACCGATAATTAAGTGCAAAATGACACCGCATATGCTGGCCTTCCCAGAGGAAGCTGAAAAAAAGGATGTTCACTTCGCGAAAATGACATCCGTCGCTAAATATGTTGGGTGCAGTTTAGCGTGTATTTTTTAAAACGACCCACGTTTTTTTCCGACTTGGCTGCCTTTCGCTGACATTTCATTGTCCCGTGCTGCCTTTTCTGGACGCGGTTTTTATGTTTAAGGCTTTATTGTAGTTTCAGCCGCGCCTGAGTGGAGACCGGGAGTGGTTGGGAGGGATGTAATTGGCTATTGATTGCTCTTGTTCTACGGTGCGCGCCGCGAACGAGGCACGGAGGGGGGGGGGGGGCGCGTGCCGACGGCTGTCGGTCGCATCCAATTCGTGTCCTTTCTGCACGGTGGCGCGGTGGACAGGCGGTGGACGGGAGTGCCGGGCCCGTCACGGGCACGCCTGCTCTGCCGCCGTGGCAAGTTCATTAATGCTTAATAACGTTGAGAGGACGTGGGGCAGTTTGGGGGGAGAGGGGGTGATTGGTTGAGCTTTTAATTTCCACAACCTTCAGGGAGCAGTAATGGTGAAAGGGGGGGGGCTTAACTGTTGCACGCGCTGCACGTTTCGGAATTAGAATATTTATACTGGAGGAATCCGATGAGCTATAAAGCTCTTTTTTTCACAGATGTTCAGTAGGGGCGGGTAAGGATGTTGTCGGAACGTTGAGTGAACCCAGCAGTGTGTGTATATATTGAGTGTGAAGTAGGTGCAACGGCACCGTGGCCCAGGCGCTGGGTTTACGAAGTGGGGTGGAAGGCGGCACGTGGGGACATCTGCGAATTGACGGAAATGTGGTGCAAGTGACAGCTTTGAAATAATAACATTCTGTGAGCGAATTGGCCGGGGAGGTCAGCAAAAAATGCACCACACGTGTACCACCCAGAGAAGAGTGGAGACGAGCTCTATCAAATTCTAGCAGTGGAGTGGTCGCAGCCCAGCATTATTTTGGCCATTAACTTTATGCCCTTTTAAAATTGTGCATTCGTCGAATGTGGGACGGTTTGAGGAGTGGTGGGTGTAGTGGTTAGCACACCGCTATGAACGCGGCAACCATGGATTCGATTCTTGATCACCTGAGACAATGCCAACGTCCCCGACGGGCACTTGAGAGTAAAAAAAAAAATCACGATATTTATAAGGAGGAGTCCGATGAGCTATGAAGCTCTTTTTGACAGATGTCCAGTATGGGCGGGTCAACAATAATCACATAATCGCCGACTCCGCAGAAGAATCTCCCGGTTTGAATGATGATCTGCACTTGAACCGCGCCAGACTATTCCATATTAATCTCCAACACCGACGACCAATTACGAATAAGGCCCATACGGTCATCAGTCTAAAACCTTTGTACGAACGCATTAACGCCCACTCACTGCAGCGCTTCGGTCCTTCCACATTTACAAATCCACCTCCACCCGTCCACCGGCTCGCAATGAACATATCAACACTTGGCCATACAAAAGACCTGTAACCCTTTTTTTTAAGCTGAGTCGACTTAGGGGTGGCGCAAGACAAATTGCTTTGTTTACCGCTGATGTTAGTGATAGACAAAGACTGTTGGGGCAAGTGCTGTTTAGCGAGCACCGATGAAGGCCGGTACGGCGCACAAGGGGGTGGGTTGACCAACACCACGCCCGGCCGCCTTTATCTCCCCGGTGGTGATATTTACACACCGCACCAGGTACTCATTTGAAGCTGAGGGCCGGTTCAGATAATCGTCACTGGTGTTGGCCGTGAGCGGTATTCGAACTCGGGTCGACGGGTTCGTAGCGCAACGCGCTAGCCACTGCTTTATGTATATGTCCACACTGAGAAGCCAACGGGACTCAGGGTGAGTTGAGCTGTCTTCCGCACACTCTCAAACCGGGGGTTGCAGTGCACAGAGCAAGTGTGCGGAAACACAGCAGAGGGCCTGGTTGAGCCACGCTTGCCTCACGCGCCGGTGTCAAATGAACGTAAACATGCCAGTCCCCTGGAAGAGAATTAATAGTTTCTCTTCTTTCACGTGGACGTAGCCGTGACGAATTTAGCCACGGTTGCTTGTGAGTCGTGTGCACTTTCCAAAGCTTTCGCGTGTCGTCTCTGCATTAAGATTTTACGAGCAAATGACTGAGCAAGCAGGTGGCGTGAGCAGAGTGGGAATGTTCGACTGCCTCGAGCCCGTGAAAGAGAATCAATAGTCCCCCAGGAATGAATATTCGTGAATATTGGGTTCCCTTCTGAATATTTGTTTCGTGGGTGTGGAGTCTTCACATGTATGGTTCCCAGAGGCAAACTTTGCACCAGTGAGCGCTGGTGACTATACTGTTGTGCTGGTGAGTCATAATTTAGATAAAACCGGTCCGCAGTTGTCTATCGCTGCATCACTGCTGCCGCTGCTGTCAGTCGCTCACATTTGCCCAAATTTAATTTGACGGTGGCCTAAGACAAGAGGCCCACAATGCACTTCTTCAGGAAATGATCTTGGTGTTTTTAAATGTGTGCGCAATGACTGTGTGATTTGAACACATTTTCACCGTTTATATATACCATATATATTTGTATTCCTTTATTTTTTTAACCAAGTAATATTTCAACTAACATTTTTAATTTGAGATTGCTTTCCAAACGTATTTGTGTAACAATTGTTCCGCTGTTTGCCTTCAGTATAGTTTTCCTTTTTTTAAACCATCTCTTTTGGTCCTACATTTTCACTCACCAATGTGGCTTTTACAGCCAGAATCTTAACAAATATTCGTTCTCCTGGAGAATATTCGTTATCCTGGGGGAGAACGAATATTTGTAGTTCCTGGGTGAACAAATAATTCTGAATATGCGCGGTGGGGGAAGACCAATATTTGTCGACTTTAGCAGTGTTGGTGAGCCCTAGAGGGCTAGGACACAGTGACCTGAGCCAGGAAGGTTAGGGGGGAACTGACAGAGAGAAGGGGGGTGACATTAGAGACAGATCCTGGGTCCCATCAGCGGTGGCAGCTGAAGAGCAGGCGCTGTCAGCCGACCAGTCAGTCCGTCCGTCTTTGTTATACCGCCAAAGGAGCGGCCAGAGACGCAGAGTGAGGTTGGAGACTCGAACTAATCATGGCGAGAACCTTGTACTGTCGCAGGGTTGTAACACCGTTTCTGAAACATTAGCTGGAATACGGCTAAAGGCACCTCCGTGGTCTCACGAGGGATTCTCTTCCTTGGCTTGGGGGGGGGGGGGGGGGGGGGGGGGGGGGGGGGGGGGGGTCACTTCCAGTCACCCAGTGAGCTCAAATAATCCTCCACGCCTTTTCTACGCAGCCTGTGGCCCAATCGCCGCGCATGCTCCCGATTTCGTCAGATCACGGGAGACTGAGCGGGGATGAGGCCGGATTGTGCTTGGTGACGAGCACGCACACACAACACACGGGTGTCTTGGGTGGCCCGCGGGACCACGTGGAAGCAAGAGGGCCGTGCTCCACTTTTTATCCTACCACGTATTTGCCCTTTGCTTCATCAGTCCCGCAGTAAAGCGTGCTGGTGAAGTCGAGTGAAATGCTATCGGTGTAAAACGTTCGTACTGGAGAACGATCCTCTGAGATACTTTCGAGTAACCTTTGGTCTACACGGAATGGAGCAGCATTGTGTTTTTTTTTTAAATTGACGTTTTCTAACAATCAACAGAATTCGCGACTCCTGTCCGACTCTTTTCCTGAGCCCCCCCAACTTTTTTATTTATACTTTACCAGGTAAGGTCCACTGAGCATTATATTTTTTATTTTTTTAATGACCTGGCCACACATGATAGCTCAACGAAGTGGCTCATCGTGTGGAAATGTTTTGCAACCAAATACTCTATATACTCGTGTTTCTAAATGTTGAGGGAAAAACCGGAGGACCCGGAGAAACATCCACGCAACCACGGGGAGAGAGAGAACACGCAAACTCCAAATATACAGGCGTCAAGGTCGTGGTCGGGATCGAAGCCACGACCTCCTGTATACCAGGCGAGGTAGTTAACATCTCACCACCGTGGCGCCCTTCAATAACATTTCCCCACCCCCTTCCACAGCGTCTTGTGATACGGGTGTCATTCGTCTCGTTATGCCGTCTAAAAGTTGTTGCCTGTGACGTCCAGGCTTCAAGACGAGCTTCGATGCAGCCTCGCGCCGTGCAGCCCAGGAGCGGATTCGGTGGAGAAATGAGGCACGAAGCGACGAGATCTCGCAGTCCCATGGCCGGTTGCTGAAATCAACCTTCAGTGAGCAATCTTCCTGAATTGGAACTTTGATCTTTACCCGTGTGTCGATAGTTCAATGTTAATGCGACATTTTTTTTATTACTGTGTAGGTGTTATCTTGGTGTGGCCTTGGGACTGTTTTTGGTGTTGCTTTTCTGCCTTTCCAAAGCTTGATAAAACAAACTTATATAAGTGGATGCATATATTATTATTTATTTATATTTCGCGAATTGCGTACCTTTTTCTCTATGTTGCACTCTTTTCGTTTGTTGTTGTATTGTTTGCTGTTGTAACTTGCTGACCCGTCCATACTGGACGTCTGTGAAAAAGAGCTTCATAGCTCATCGGATTCCTCCCTCTAAATAAAGATTGTGATTCTGAATTGACACGTGAATTGACACCTGCTTTAAATTGACCAGGTGGCTCAGC